AGACGTGAACAAGTGATGAGGAAGTAGAGAAACTGGAATCCTCATACATTGCTGGTCGGAGTGTAAAATGTTGCAGCTGCTTTGGAAAATAGTTCGTCACCATATATGGCCCAGCCCTTTCACTCCCAGATATATATCCAAGAGGATTGGAAGCGTGTCGACACAAAAACTTGTATATGACGGTTCGTGGTAGCATTATACATAATAGTCAAAATGAAGAAACATTCAAATCGGGGACCAGCAGTTAGCATAATGGCTATGTCGCTGGACTCCCATGTAGTCAACCGCGGTTCACGTCCCGGACCCGGTGGCTTAAAACTCACGCCGGGCACGTGTGCATGCGTGCCCAAGATCCCGAGAGGAGAACGGAGGAGAAGGGATTGTGGCATGGCCATCCCCCCTGGGGGGTGATTTCTCGCTTTCTGTCTCTCTGTCTCTGTCTGGCGAGCGCACACGCCCTATAGCAAAAACCTCTCAAAAAAAAAAAAAAAAAGAAGAAGAAAATTCAAATCGCTACCAGCTAATAAATGGATAAACAAAATGAGGCATTTATTTGGAATTGTAAGCAGCCACAAACCTTAATAAAGTATCATCACATGCTACAAACATGGATGGACCTTGAAAAGTTAACCAGTGAAAAAAGTCACAAAGGTCACATTTTTCAAAGATTTCATTTATATGAAATGTTCAGAATAGGCAAATCCATCTGAACAGAAAGTCAGTTAAGGGTTGAAAGGGGAGAATGATGATAACTAATAATAGGTACGGATTTCTTTGTAGGGTGATGAAAATGTTCTGAAATTAGAAAGCATGATGGTTGCTTAACTGGTAAATGTACTTCAAATCGGGGCTGGCAGGTGGGATGGTGGTTAAGGGCACTGGATTCCCACATAGCCAACCACTGTTCGAGTCCCAGACTTGGTGGCTTAAACTCATGCCTGACGTGTGTGTGTGTGTGTGTGTGTGTGTGTGTATGCCCAAGATCCCGAGAGGAGAATAGAGGAGAAGGGATTGTGGCATGGCCATCCCCCCCCGAGGGGGAGGGGTTATTTCTAACTTTCTGTCTCTCTGTTTCTCTCTGTCTTTCTGGCGAGCACACACACCCTATAGCAAAAAAACTCTCAATAAATAAATAAATAAATAAATAAATAAATAAAAAAGGAAAAAGTCTGACCAAGGAAAGGAAAGACCCCCTATTTTCCTAAAACAAATGCAGTTTGCACTGTGAAAAAATATGGCCACCACGAAGAGGTAAATGATCAAAAAATTATGCGTGTTGGGGCCAGCAGGTGGTGTAGTGGTTGAGGTGCTGGACTCCCACATGGCCGACTGTGGTTTGAGTCTCAGACCTGGTGGCTTGAAATTCATGCCGGGGCATGTGTATGTGTGCTCAAAGTCCCAAAAGGAGAATGGAGGAGAAGGGATTATGGCATGACCATCCCCCCAGGTGGTGATTCCTCACTTTCTGGCTCTGTTTCTCTCTGTCTCTTCCACAACCACACACGTCCTGCAGCAAAAATCTCTAAGGGAAACAGCAACAACAACACATTGTGTGTGTTTCCTTCTCTGTCTCCAGATCTGATCAGATGTGCTGGCCACACAGGGAACTGAGGAAGGTTAGCAGAGCTGTGACTTCTGGGTGGGACTCAGAAAGATGAGCTGACTGCTGGCTACTTCTGCACTTCCCCTTGAAGAGGTTGAGAGTTAGAGAAAGAGGGCCTCCTACTGTTTGTTAGTGTGAAATGTCTCTCAGTTGTGCTGGATGAGATCAAATGAGACAAAGATCTTTAATGTTTGATAATCTGTAAAGCATAAAATCAAATGTAACTTTCCACCTCGAAATATGTTTTGTAACTCAGATTAAAACTTAATGTTTAAGATTGCTGGTGGATGGGACCAGCAATTGGCATAATGCCTATGTTGCTGAACTTCCATGTAGTCAACCATGGTTCGAGTCCCGGACCCGGTTGGCTTAAACCCATGCTGGGCGCGTGTGCATGCGTGCCCAAGATCCCAAGAAGAGAATGGAGGAGAAGGGATTGGGGCGTGGCCATCCCCCCTGGGGGGTGATTTCTCATTTTCTGTCTGTCTTTCTCTGTCTTTCTGGCGAGCACACATGCCCTATAGCAAAAAACAAACAAACAAACAAAAAAAACTCTCAAAAAAAAAAAAAAGATTGCTGGTGGGGGGAAAGAGGGCTAATTAGAGAGCCATCAGTGTAGCAATTCTGAGTTATAATATCATATCACAATCAACTGTGTACCTCTGTAGGAGGAGACATGCAGTTCTCTGGGCTCAGATAAATCCCACAGAACCAGCTCTGTGACTCCGGCCTCCAGCGTCACTCCTTCCCAGGCCTAAGCTGACAATGGAAGCTTTCTTTCCATCTCTCACTGCTCAGCTGTTCTGTGTCAAGCTTCTACCCTGTTCAGAAGCCTGGGATGTCCCCAGTCTGGTTGGACCGCAGGGACAAGAACTTAAAGAATTCTGAAGTTTTGAGACTAAACCACTGGTAGCCCTTCCACATAGCCCTTGAGGACTCTGGCCCTGTGCTGGCCTGACTCTGAGCTGCAGACTGGCTCACCTCCTCACTGGGAGTTTGTCAGAAATGTGAATTCTCAGCCTCTTCTACTGCCTGTCTACTGCATAGGAGTATGTGTGTTAACAGGACCCCCAGGTGATTTGTGGGCACACTGAAGTCTGATGAGCCCTGGTCTAAACATCAGAATTGCCTGGACGGTGCAGCTGCATGGGAGCCTGGTCCAGGGCCCATGGTCTGGGAGCCATTGCCTGGGTCTCGAGTGAGGTGATTACACAGATTAAGAGAATCCTTTCTTGGACCAGCAGTTAGTGCAATGGCTATGTCGCTGAACTCCCATGTAGTCGACCACTGTTCAAGTCCTGGACCCGGTGGCTTAAACTCATGGCAGACACATGTGTGTGCGTGCCCAAAATCCCAAGAGGAAAATGGAGGAGAAGGGATTGTGGTGTGGCCATCCCCCCTG